TGCAGCTACGTTGTGCCAGCGCTCAAGTGTTACACCTGTAAAGCACAAGCCGTGGTACAGACCGACAAGAACTGCACTGACCATGCGGCATACAGCTTACACCTGTAAATCACAAGCCGTGGTACAGACCGACAAGAACTGCACTGACCATGCGGCATACAGTGCCCCCCACCCCTCCCCTCCCAATTAAAGCACAAGTACACGGCCCCCGCCTTGCAGCAAAACATCTTGTCGCCGCAAGATTGTTTTTGCGGCTAGCACCTACCGGACCACAAGGGTGGGCGCCGCCAGCCAAAAAAGAAAAGAAGTGCCGCACTGGCAGTTTGAAAAAAACTGCGTCGCTGGCAGTTCGGAAAAGAAGGCCCGGGTGTACTGGTGGTTTAAAGCGCACAGGACCGAAAAGTGCACCGCTGTGCACAGGAAGTGTATCTCCGACAACAAACGCACTGGCCATGTGGCATCACTGTGCATAGAGTTACAGACCCACCTCCCCCCCCCCCCCCACACACACGAGCACACAGGGCCAGGTGCCACTGTGCACAGGAAGTGTGTCTACCACAAGGAGTAAACACAGAGGGATGACAAGAATGACTAGGACACCCGCAAGGAATAACCCCACAAGCCCCCTTTTGCTCAGGAAGCGTGTCTACCACAAGGAATAAACACACAGGGATGACTCAAAACGACGACACCCGCACGAAATAACCCCACAAGCCCCCTTTCTTAATAAATAGGGCATCGTCTACATGGTTTGGTTCGAAAGAACCATCGCACATGCACCCCGGAAACGAAATGGACGCATATACCACTACGTTTCCGTACCTTACTCAACCAGACAACAAGACAACCTAAGTCCAGGCAGGCTCTACAACCATGGCACATAAACCCTCACGCCGGAACAGAGGGGGCTGCCACAAAGTTATCTTGACATGGTTATATTCAACCACGAGTACGCCGGGGGGTCTTAGGCCCCCCTTCTGGGTCCCCTCTGACGCAAATGCATATGGACCGGCACAGCGCACCAATTCAGCCGCCGCATTAACGGCCTAAAAACGCGGAGGTACTGGTGGTTTAAGCCCACTGATCACAGGTTATCCGAAAGGAATATAACCAATCTGTAGAACGTCGTTCGGCAGTTATTACCAATGGCCAAGCACTACCGTTCGAGAAGCACATGGTATGTATAGGCTTGCCCAACAAACTCCAGTTCCATGCGCTATCGCAAAATAGCTAAAAATGCAAAAGAGCTAAAAATGCAAAATAGCTAAAAATGAGATTAACCAATCGAAATGAGGGTATCGCATAGAGCCGGCCATAATTTACAAGGGCACTCATACATTTTGCGATACCCTCATTTCGATTTGTTATGGTTTAGGGTTTAGGGTGGAGTCGAAAGATTTGCCTGGTGTAAGTGCCAATGGCCTGGACATACTCCATGCTCCCCGATAATCGCAAAGAGCACGCCATTTTTTTCATTTTTTTCCATATTACCACTTCCCACCAGAAGTGATTGGCTGGTATTAGCACCATATGCCTCGCGATCGTTGATCGTGATTTGATTTACTTCGCTTGGCTTGCCCTAAGCTATTGCAATAGCAATATAACATCGGACAGGCTAGCTAGCTGTTCACAGCAAGATTGACTACGAACGCAGAAACAACACGTGTATGGCTCGACAGGCACAAATCTTCCCCTCACAGTAAATTCCCTGAGACCTGCCCAACAAAATCACCCTCGCGCATGCCCGTCCCGATGGACTTCCGCAAACCCTTCTCGCAGGTACTGGCCACTGCTGTCAGTCGAGGCCTTCCTGCTTTCGAACACGCACAAACTGCTGGCTCTAGACCCCAGCAGCAGCAGTACATGGCCCCCGCCAACTTGAGAATCACGGTTGAGTCGCGCCGACAAAATCAGAGGCTCAGGGTCCACCGGACCAAAATGGCTGGCGGCGCCAGCCGAAAATAAAAACAAAAACTCTTGCACTGGCGGCCCCAGGGGGTGTCCAGGCTTGAGAATTTTGCCTCTGATGTAGTTACTGGCGGTTTACATCATGATGCTGCGGCCACTTGTTCTCCATGCTAATACCCTAAACCTCCATACTAATACCCTAAACCCTTGCATGACAGTTCACTTCATCCAATGACAACGATAAGATCAGGCAGGTATCTACAGGCTCAAGCTCTCCAGTGCAGTATGAGAATACCTGTGAAATGAAGTACCCATCTCCTCCTTTTACTTCCGCGCTATACTCTCTCTACCCCTACGAAACCACAAAAGGTCACCTGTCAAGCTGCAGACGTGACTGACGTATGTCTTTCTGACTAACAATGAGGTCTTCTGCCTGTTTTCCCCAGACGAAAGACAAGCACAGATTCGGCAGCTACGCTACGCACGCTCTTCTTTCGTTTGACTCTCTCTCTGCTTTGTTGCGAAAACCAGGAACACCAGGGCATGCTGATTTTTTTTTATTTTATTTTTTTCTGTTTTTTTTCATTTTTTCTTTTTTTTTCCCATAAAGTCCATAGTGTAGTAGCGGGCGGAGGCCAGGCCTTCATCTTGGAAGTGCTCCATCATTCACTTGTCAATCCTGACCACCATTCGCCATGATACGTTGTGACAGTGTTATGTGCACCAGGTATCGCACCCGCCCAGTGCAACCCAGTCCTCTAAGGTGACAACAGATGGGCTCAGGGAGCTCTGCGGACCGGTGTGACCGAGACCAGGAGCATGCAAAGTAGTCGACAAAAAGGACCGAGAGTCGACCAACACAGCATTGCAGACTGCTACGGCCAGGTCGACATCCAGATGATCAACAGTCCATGGCTTTGTACCAGTGCAACCTCCCTCTCATCACCTGGGAGAAATTTGTCGTCGCTCCTTGAGCAACGACCTCCATGCATTCGCGATAACATCCATCTGTGCGCGCTTTTCCCATGCAATCATAGGGCTCAACTCTTTTGAAAAGATATAAGAGTTCTTTTCAGAAGCCATTTGTTGCCCTCCTTATTCCTGAGCAAATATACAGCTTGTGAAGTTTTCCCGTTCTTATCAGCTCCCTCTTCCTGCCCCCTCCACCGGAGAAGGAGAATGGGAGAGAGAGGGACGACGGAGGCACACCAGAGAGCTTACGAATGCATGCACACACACATCAAGAAGAAGAGACTATTGCACCAAGACCAAGGGCGTTCTTAAACAGTAAAGAAGGGTGCCGAAGGGCGTGCATACAAGAAGGGTGCCGAAGGGCGCATACAAGAAGGGTGCCGAAGGGCACGCATACAAGAAGGGTGCCAAAGGGCGCGCAGACAAGAAGGGTGCCGAAAGACGCATACAAGAAGGGTGCCAAAGGGCGCGTATACAAGAAGGGTGCCGAAGGGCGCACATACAAGAAGGGTGCCGAAGGGCGCGCATTACAAGAAGGGTGTCGAAGGGCGCGCATACAAGAAGGGTGCCGAAGGGCGCATACAAAAAGGGTGCCAAAGGGCACGCTGGGAGCATACAGAAGGGTGGCAAAGGGCACACTGGGAGTAGGAGCATTTGGAGGAAACTAGGAGTGCGTCACAGCAAGAGGGACTTGGAAGACATCGAGAGCGGAACAGACGCTCGAAGGTCTGGCAGTGTGAGGAAAGAGAGAAGGGACTGCTACCACCGCCTTCAAGAACAAATTAACAGCCACCCAAGTGTATCTTCACACTACCAAGGGGCACGATATGGAAACCAGAAAGACTGGCAATCAAGGCAGACTGTGCACGGTGGGACTGCACACATCGCATTAAAGACTGCAAGCAGCAGATCGCAGACTGGATTACATCCTCTCGCGCCTGGGCGGATCCACCTGCCTCTGAGGAAAGAAATCACATTGGGTCTGAAAAAACACACTCCCGTACTGAAGATATAGCCAGCATATCGAGACCGGACGCATCGTGCTACGTAGTAGGGTGACAAATCACCTAGTACCTGAAGCTGCCCCCACTCTTTCATCTAAGGGTGTCTGTCTCACTGCCAAAACAATTCGTTCGGTACAACCTGGGGCGGGGATCCCTTATCTGCCCCCTCCCTTTACAAAGCAATGTTCAAGGGGAATCTGGGTATATGCCGAAACCTTCAAGTACCTGACAACGAAAACAACGAATGTGTGGGCGCGGCCAATCAATCAGCAGGGAAGGAAGTCTAAGTATGACCGTACACACATCACAGCTAAGTTGCAGCAGTCGTGACGACGAGCACCCTCCTCAATGTGCGAAATGCAGGTTGCAGAGATTGCAAAATGCAGATTCAGAAAGGGGAAAAAAAAAAAAAAAGATGCAGATTGACGTGGAGCTTACGCAGCATGGATGCTGAGGCTGAGGCCGCAAAGGACACCAGGCCTGGTACACACACACAGGCACGTCTAAGAACGATGAACCTAGGATCGGCAGAGGCCATCCCGATCCTGTGAATCAGGTTGAACAGCATATACAAAGCATGACAGAGACTTTGGCCATAGCCACACCACTCACCGGATGTGAAGAAGACAAAACATATACGGCGGGCGTACCTTTCTATGTTTTCATGGAAGATGCATGCTCCATTTTGCACGTTCCAGGAGTGGGTCCCGAGGCCCTTTTCCAACTGCTTTCTTGACGTACACACATTACATCCTCCTCCTCGTCCAGGCATAACTGGAGTCAGACAGACCTCTGACGGTCTTCTCAGCCCCAGACAAAAAAGCACATTGAGCCTCGCTACACTACTCAGTGTACTCACCAAATGAGCAAAAAAAAAAAAAAAAAGAGAACGAATCCTCCGCTAGAACATGGAGAGATGCACCGCCCTATTCTTTTTTCTCTTGTGCATGTCGCGAGTACTGGAGCGAGGCCCATTATCGGACAAAAAGCAAGCAGAAATGGAAGACTGCAAAGTAAAAATGCGCAGGTTGCAAGGAAAGACCAGACGAAACACTTTCTCACGCTGCAACAAGAAGCATGCGAAAGGCGAGGCCACATGAGGGGCATTATATTGAAAAGGTTAAATTGAAAGAAAAATAATATAGCTTGGCATTTCAAAAAGAGCAAGCCTACCAAGGGGCGCGCTCTGTACAAGAAAAAATTCCACCAGATGGGGGGGGGGGTGGTTGCTGCTACAAGCATCATCAGTCCAAGCCTGTTCCTCCCAATTTGCGATGTTGCCGGCCTCCAAAATCCCGAGCCCCGTCAACCACAAGGGCCAATCGAGCTAGGTAGCACAGCTTATCTGGCCGGATAATCTGGTCGGATTATCTGGCCAGATTATCGGGGGTTATGATTATCCAGAAATCCAGATGATTAAAAAAAGGGCCAAAAAAAAGCAAAAAAAAAAAAAAAAGCGCATGCAAAATACAATAGAACTACGTTCCTATTTCATAAAAAGCTTGATAGGTCATGGAAGGGTTCAAAGGGGTTAAGATAAGGAATAAAGGGGTTTAGAGGGGGGATGCTTAATTCGTTTTATAACTTTTGATCTAAATATTATTTTCTTTTTCTGTTTTATTTTTTATCTTCTTATCTGTTGAGATATCAAAGATGGTGTCATCCGTGATTAATCCGGAATTTCATCCGGCTTGACTATTCCGGATACATTTGGCATTCCGGATATCCGGATTTGCTACCTAGCAATCGAGTGCTGCTTCTTTTTCCCGCCACCATTCTGGTCCGCCGTACGCCGGACCTCAAAATTAGTGCCGTGGTATAACAGACTCCGAAGCATGCGTGCGCAGTGCAGATGTCCAGCGCACTGGTGCTTTTTTTTTGTTTTTTTTAATAATTAAAACAGTTTTTCTTTTTTTTTTCTGTTCTTTTCTACACTCTTCTCTCAACTTCTGTTTCTTTTACCTTCCATTACCTACTCCTAAGACTGTCTAGAGGGGACCCCTGCAAGCATAGTTTTCCTCTCTCTGTGAAGGGGAGATTTCATGTTGCCCCTTGCCCCTGATGGTTAGGGTATAGGGTTGGGGCCGCCAGTGGGGGTCTGGCTAACACAAAGACCGAGACCTGCCAGTAGCTGTGCCTCCCTTTCTCATCGTCCCCCACCCTTCATCGAGTAGCAGCAGAGGCTATGGCCAACACTCTCCCACACACCACACACAACCCACTCGCCCTCACACTCACACCCGTGTTGGTCATAGACCCTGCTAATACCGATCAGGGGTATCCAGAGGACTATCACAGTCCAACCGAGGAGGTTTAAAAAATAAAAATAATAAAAAAATAATAATAAAAAAAGGTTCCTGCTACGGTAGAAGGTAGTGTTTTTTCACATTACAAAACAGAAGGGACAGATCCTTTCCTTGCTAGCTCAATGATTTTCATTCTTCACAACAACAACAAAAAAAAAAAAGATTCTGGTTAGATTCCGATTTTCTGGTTAGATTCTGGTTAGATTCTGGTTAGATTCTGGTTGGATTCTGGGTAGACTCTGGGTAGATTCTGGGTAGATTCTGAGTAGATTCTGGGTAGATTCCGGGTAGTTTCCGGGTAGATTGTGGTAAAGATCGAAATCATAAATCATACTTTGTCATTGTTGTACTATTTGTTAACAATTTTACACAAACCCACTTATCGATTGAACATAACTGAGCACGACGAGAATCTTTTTTTTTTTTAATGCTCATCTGAAAAAGCGCACGACATTTCAACATCGTCGGTGTTCATTAATCCTAGTTAGTGAGAGATCGAGGGATCGAGGAATGCCTGCAGAGAGAGAACTCGATGAACTCGATAACGCTCAAGAGTGCGCATTCTGGAAAAAACGTAATCAAACAGAGAAAACAGAGAAACGGAAAAAGTAGCTAGCGAACTTCCGAAGAAACTTCAGAAGAAACTTCAGAAGCAAGCTCAACTGCCAATTCAAGCCCTCGGAGAAAAAAAGGGAAGCACAATTTGATAAAAGAGCAGTGTAACGAACGAGCAACAAACGACCACGTACACGTGCACTGCAAGGGATGCACCCAGCTTGCAAATGCGTGCAAGTACACCAGTCCAGAGAGCAGGACGTCTGGCAACACAGACTTCGTCCAAAGTGTACCTTTTTTTTTCCTTCTTTTTTTTTTTGGTCCAGACTGTACCTTGTACTGTGTTATCATCTGGTAAGAATCGGATTAAGGCGGCGAAAACTTACAAAAGGAGAGAGAGAGAGAGAGAAGGAGAGAGAGAAAAGAAAGCGACGCCTTTGTACCTTGTATCTTATGATCTGATAATCAGATAAAGGCGGCGACATGTTACATAAGAGGAGAGAGACAAAAGAAAGCGACGCTGGGTAGTTCACAGTAATAGGGAGTGCCAGGATTGTTTCAACAAACATCTCTATCTATACATACCATATCCATCAGCAAGATCGACTATTTCGGCACTGCATGAAATACCGATGCACGTGCAGTTGTGCAGGACATCGGCCACGCATCCGCCCAAAATATGCTTTTACCGTACGAGTTAATCAAACCGAGGCAAAGACTCAAAAAGGAAAGCAGAGCACAAAAAAAAAAAAAAA